CTCGCGCATCGGACTCGAGCTCGGCGAAGAATTCCCTTCGACCGGTCATGTGGTGGGTGGCGCCGGTGTCGAGGCACCACCCCATAGCCTTGTCCTTCCCGGAGCCATCGCCGAGAAGAGCGTGTGCTTTTGGCTCATCGAGGTGGATGAAAGCCTTTGCGACTGGAGTCGCCGAGGGTAGCTCAATGCTTGCATGCGCCATGAACAGAGCCGTCTCCTCCTCCTTCGCCTGTGCGACGTGAGCCTGGCCTTGTCGTGGTTGCCGACACTCATTGGCCCAATGGCCAAACCGGCCACAGTTGTGGCAACTGTTGTCTTGTGCCGGCCTGGGCTTGCCAGCGACGCCGTCCTTGGCGCCTCCGCGGGCGTCACCTTCGGCACGTCCTTGTGCCCTGCCCGGGGGGCCTCTTCGCGCCTTACGCTGCTTGCCACGCTTGCGGCCGCCCGTCGAGGAGGAAGGCTCCCCCTTCTTCTTGTCACCAAGGCTGGGATCCCACTGCTCCCGAGTTAGGAGCAGCTTCCCGCCGGTGGTGACGGGCCCCGAGGGGGGCTGTGGCTCGTCGGTGTCGACGACCTTGAGTCGACCTATCGCCTCCTCGATCGTCATCGTGGAGAGGTCCAGCAACGACTCGATCGAGCGAGCCATCTGCTTGTACTTCTCGGGAATGCACCGAAAAAGCTTCTCGACAGCTCTCTCCTCGGTGTAGGTGGCATCGCCAAACTTCACCATCTTCTGCAGCAGAGTGTTGAGACGGAGAGCAAAGTCATCAACGTCCTCACCTGGCTTGAAGCCCAGGTTCTCCCACTCCTTACGAAGTGCTTGCAGGGTGGACTTGCGAGCACGGTCGCTGCCGATGCGTGCTGCGGCAATGGCGTCCCAAGCCTCCTTGGCAGTCCGCTTGTTGAAAAGCGAGAACTGCATCTCGGGCGGGACTGCGGCGATGAGGGCGTCCAGCGCCCGTCGATCCTCTAGGTGGTCGACGTTGCTGTCCTGGACTGCCTCCCACATGCGCCGCACCTGGAGCCTGACCTTCATGATCCCGGCCCACTCGACGTAGTTGGTTTTAGTGAGGGTAGGCCACCCAACACTGGAACCAACATCCCTGACCACAGTCCGGACCTCGTAGAGGCCGCGGTCCTGGTCGTTGCAGCCGCCGTCGCGGTGCGCGCCTCCACCTGGAGCGCGGGCGTGCTCGGTTGCCCACTGCGCCGTCCGCTCCTGCGCCACTTTGGCACGATCTGCGTCGGCGCCGTCGTCCGCAGGCGCGGAGCTGCTGGAGCTGCCGGGGCTGCCGCGGAGTGCCTTGGCATCCGCCGTAGCCTCACGGGCTGCTTCTGCTGCTGCTGCTGCTTCTACCTCCGCCCTGGCTGCTTCTACCTCCGCTCTGGCTGCTGCCAGCTCCGCTGCAGCCAGCCTCGACACTCTTGCCGCCGCAGCAGCCGCTGCTACAGCCGCTCGCTCACGCTCCTCTGCCACGGCGCGCTCGGCCTCTTGCCGGCGCCGCATGCTCGAGGTAGCCGTGTGCTGAGAGCGACCTGCAGACATGGCTCGCTGCAGGGGGGCTGTTGCGTGAAGAGGAGGCTGATGAAGACGAGCTGCTGCTCGACAGTCCGGAGGGAGGAAGGTAACCAGAGGCAGACGGAGCAGCTGCTGCTACCGACTTGGGCTGCTCACAGGAAATGCTCAGGGTGCAGGTTAACCTGGCTCTGATACCACTTGTTAGACCTTTCAGCCTGAGCATTGATAGTTGTGGATGACACTAGGAGAGTTGGGACAATTTTCGTTGGTTTATTTCTCACACAGTGCCATGCCAACCTGAGGGGTTGGGGATACATATTTATAGGCTGCTAGCCAGCCAAGGCATATGCTAAGATGCTGCTAAGATGCCAGTCTAAGATGCTAGTCTAAGATGCTAGTCTAAGATGCTAACTGACAGTCCTTGATGGTCAAGAACAGAACTCTATCCTAACAGCCAGTCCTTGATGGTCCAGGACTTTATCCTCCTAACTGCCACAAGGACCATGTGCTGCAGCCCCACAAGGGCCCTAGTACACAGACTTATCCATCACAGGGCAGCTGCCAACTATTTGCGACATGAACATACTCATTCGTAGGAGGTTTGTACAGTAGCTTAGCGGCCTATAGCGCGAGTGCGCGTCGAGTTGGTTGGCACACACGCGCGCCCGCGCACGGTGGCGTGGTCCCTTTTTCCCTTTGGCCCCATAGCAGCCTCGCTAGCTGCATCGTTCGCTCCATCCAGCCTCGATGGGTAGCCACTGACTGTGTCTACATGGGAGCAATGGATGGGTGGATTGGATTGGGTTGGACGGTACCCCTACCCCTACCGACGACGGCCCAGTGTCCTACGACTCTCTCTCTCTCTCCTCGCTATTCTTTTCTCTCTCTTCTAGAGACTAGAGAGGAGACGAGGGGAGAGGAAATGAGACGAAAGGTACGCATGCAGCAGTGTTGGCTTCGACGGGCCCGCCGGGCGTACTATGGGATGCCGTCCGTCCTGTTCTGATCTCTTCTTTTAGCCCTCTTGAATCCCGGCTGTACCGATCATTCGTTCATCATCGCCAGGACGGCAGGACCCATGCATCACAAATTTAACGCCTCTCCCCCTCTCTCTCTCCTCTTTCTCTCTCATGCATAATGCTGATCGTAACAATAGTATTATCATAAACCCAATTGAAACGGATGAATTGAAAAGTGGGCGAGCAAGTCACCTTGGGCCTGTGCCTGTGTGGTGCTGTAGGAAGGGAGGGGGTGGACCTATGTCCTGTTGGGGACCCCGGAAAAGATGCCTCCCGCTCATTCGTCAAACTCGCCCTACCCCCGTGATCTTCTAATGCCAGCCTTGCTAATCGCCACGCCGCTGCCGTCCCTTATCTCCCACCCCTTCTAGATAATGCATGCACCTGTAAGATACAGACGGAAGGATCAGAATTACGCCGTAATTTCGCAATTGTCATGGCAGAGGTCATATCATAGAGTTGCATCCTTACCATGACAGCATGGTCGCCTGGAGTGTACCAGTGAGCGAGCTTTCTCCACCTGCCTCAAGGTGCTGGAGAAGAAAAGCTGAGGCCAACAAATTAGTGAATGGAACATCTAGAGCAGTGCCCAGCAAAAGGCAGGTTGTTGTTACCTAAAAGTCGGTTTATCTCGGCCCAACTGCAAGTCCTGCATGGAGGAAGAACAGATGGTGACATTAACCCCCACGGGCACGCACACGCACCGGTCGGTTTTAATCGTTGCGATACGAAGCAAGCGGGGATGTGCTAATTGCTCCAAAAACCTGCATAAACAATACACATACAAGAGTCTATCAGAACAGACAATGCAAGCCTCCAGAACGGATGAGATCCGCTGCATGGGGAATCAAAGGACAAGACGATCAGCTGGAAACCAGACTAAATAAAACGCCCAATCATCAATGCCTTTTGATTCGTCCCCGCCCCGCGTCTTGTTTAATGGGGACGAGTATCGGCCATCACATGGGCACACAAGGATGCCATTACGATCCTAATCATGGAACCATGGATTAAACTCTCTCCTTTGTATTGGACATGCAAGGATGGGAACAATAATACGCGCATTGACTGGCTCATTGGGGAATACTACTGTGCCGCGAATATTTGTCCCCCTCCTATGGACCTATTTTGTATCAGGAAATTAGAAAATAAAGTTTTTTTTTTCTTCTCTTGTCACAATGATGGGCGTATCATCCATTGACGAGGCTAGCGACAGTCAGCAGGCAAATCATTATGCTTGGTACCTGTGTCATTATAGAAAGCCCGGTTCTTCACTGATCGCGGACAGGTTCAGCGGCGGCAACGTGCTCCGTCCGGGATTGGAGAAGCAAAGATTTCTGATTGGAAATTGCTAGCTAGCAGCTTGCTGCTCCGGGTAAACAAAAGGGAGATGCCCTCTGTCCTGGAATACGAACATCTGGTGCCACCTCTTTCTCCCCAGGACCCCAACTGTGATGATTGATTGCCGATGGCTTTTCCCCCACATAGAAGTGATCCAGTGACTTACCTGAAAAGCAACGGAGATAGAGGACAATTCTTGGGTCTGACACATAAAATCTTCTTGCAGGTGGGGGAAAAACGAGGTGCACATGCACGAACGAACAGCAGCAGCAGCAGCAGCTAACAAAGATGAGTTTTAATTAGCAGCAGAAGAAAGGTGGACATGGCCGCCTCCCCCAACCGTGTGTGTGCTTTACCCTGCATGGAACACTCGTGACGTAGAAGTAGCTGCAGAAAAGAAGGCAACATAAATAAAAAGACAAGGCTTCTAGTAGCAGGAGGAGGAGGAGTGGTGTACACTGAATGCTGCCCTGGGGGGTCGTGGTCATTCGCCATGGGAGGAGCAGGAGCAAGCAGTCCCTTTCCTGATAATGCAGAGGCAGACGGACCCGTTTTACTTTCACTGGCTTGTGCTCAAAGAAACAGATGAATGTAGAGTTTCATAAACAAGGCCGCGACATTAAAATATCGGTGAAGGCGGCTACCCCACCGGTTTTGGCACCAGACATAGATTCTTAGGAGAGATGACGAGACGTACCCCCACGCGTAGCGGGAAGCAACCAAAGTGAAGAAGAAGAAGAAGGGTTAAACCCCCACCCCCTTCCCCTCTCGCAACCACCTCCACCACCACCACCTTTAAAAGAAGGTGCTAAAGGGGGGGTGTCCTGCAAAGAAAAGGAGAGGAGTGCCCCCTAACCTTTCCCTGCTTTCCACTGAAATCTCCTATCTGCAACCATACACACTGTTGCTCTTCTTGCTCAATTCTGCTCTCAGCAACCATTTCTCCATATATAAGTCACTATCCCCTCTGCATTTCCCACCCCTTCTTCAGCCATGGATTCCTGAAGAAGCTCCGTGCTACCAGAGGAGGCTTCTGCTGTGAGCAATTGCAAGCTGTGTGAGTTCCGCGAACCTCGTCGGGTCTGCGAATTTCAAGCTCGCAGGCTCTGCATTGCACTGAAATGGGGAGGCATTCGTGCTGCTACAAGCAGAAGCTGAGGAAGGGGCTCTGGTCCCCTGAGGAGGATGAGAAGCTCATGAACCACATAACCAAGCATGGCCATGGCTGCTGGAGCTCTGTCCCTAAACTTGCAGGTGAGCAAAAACTAATATTCTGCATTTCACTCTTGTCAGTTACAAACTTCCATTCTTTCCCCCCTTCTTCTCCTCCTAAGAAGGCTTCCCTCTCTTAGTCAGGCCAATTATCTTAATTTGCCTCGTAAATTGCTGCAGGGCTCCAAAGGTGTGGCAAGAGCTGCAGGCTGAGGTGGATAAACTACCTGAGGCCAGACCTTAAGAGAGGTGCCTTCGCTCAGGACGAGGAAGACCTCATCGTTGAACTCCATGCTGTGCTTGGGAACAGGTGAATTTTAAGCCTAGAGTTGCACTCTGAGGACCCAAACAGAATTCAGCATTAGTAACTGCAGAGCAAACCTTGATAATTCAACTAATACGCCTCTTTTTTTTCCATGAGAAGGTGGTCTCAAATTGCAGCACAGATGCCTGGGAGGACTGACAATGAGATTAAGAACCTCTGGAACTCGTCCCTCAAGAAGAAGCTGCGGCAGAAGGGCATTGACCCCAACACCCACAAGCCCCTCACCGAGGCTGATCGCAGTGGAGCAGCTCCCACCATCAGCACCGAGAGGACCTCTGGTTCCAGTGACGTCAACCCGTCAAGCGCTGGTGCTCAAGGGAACTTCGGTCACCTCCTCAGCGAGACAGCCCAATCGTCAATGCTGCTGCCGGTGTATGACAAGAAGCACCCTGAAACTCCAAGCTTGGCACGACCTAAGGTGCCAGCAAAGGAGTTGTTCCTGGACCAGCTTACTGCTGGTCACGAGAGCCCATCAAGCTGCCGTTCATCAGGTCCAACGCTGTATTTTCCTTTCCAGCAGCAATTAGGCTACAGCAATGAGTGTGGCAGTGGAGATGGTGCAAATATGAACATGAACTCACTCTGGTTTAACCAGAATGATTTCAACTGCAGCACAATCTCCACTGTGATGCCAACAGTTTCACCATCAGCCCTCTCGACACCGATGGGACTGAACCTCCCACCAGACAATCACCGCCATGGGGGCACTGGCATAGGCAGTGCCCCTTTCTACTGGGGTGGTGTTAATCCTAGCAGCAGCGGTAGTACCGGGAGCAGCGGAAGCAACAGCATGGGGTTCGAGCCACAGAGCACGAACTCAATTCTGGAGAACAGTGTATTCCCATGGACAGATATCGGAGTTGGGCAAGAAAAAGATACCAGAGTTCAGTTAGTGGAGGAACTCAAGTGGCCTGACTTGCTTCATGGAACCTTTGCAGAGGCAACCACAGCGATGCAGAACCAGAGCCAATCACTATACGATGATGTGATCAAAGCAGAGAGCCAGTTCAACATGGAAGGGATATGTGCTTCTTGGTTCCAGAATCAGCAGCCACAGCAACAGCTGCAAGCAGCATCAGACATGTATGATAAAGACTTGCAAAGAATGCCCTTGTCTTTTGAGCATATCTAGGTGCTATGTTCTGCCATACATGGAACAGAGAAGATCAGCAGAAGTTCAGACTTGTCTCACAATTTCGTGAGCAGGCTATGCTGAGGTGCTTGCATAGATACATATGCGGGTTGATACAGGAATCAACCCTCCACAACCTTCCTCGGCTAAAGATCATGCAGTGCCACGGAAAAGACAGCTCTGTCATCAGGAGTGGCGTCAAATTGCACAGAAAAGTACATTCTGGAGTCTCCCTTTCTTTCTCTTGAAAATTGTTGTTTTCTTCTGTACACGACAGCTCAACTTTTGGATACTTGAGTTTTTGTTCACTCTCTGTTTATCAAATAAATAGACAGGAATGGGAAAAACTGCATGTGTCGGTAGCTATCACTGACCATACAAGTAGTCCCAGACTTTTCAACTGCTGCCATGCACGTAGATGGGAATTAATTATTGCAAGTTGTATTTTTATATCTTTTGAGAAGTTGCCGACAAACTGCAGTTGTATATTTGTAAAGGCAGAAAATTGGAATATTGACCCATGAGCATTTTTCTCTGGCTTTCCCTTTCCTGTTTCTGTCTTAATCTTTTCCCTGTGGAGAATCCGAAGCTACTTGATCGCTTTCTACTTCAATACTAGCATGGAAAAGGATTGGTTGATTTGATATGGTCTAAAGAGGTAACCATCCTCAGGAGAGAGTAAGCACGGCTGAGAGAAAAGGAGGCAAGTATTTAAGAATATCTACCTACCATGCAGATGGGTAGCATATGAAGCCTCATTTTGTGGTGAGCACTCAACCATATGCTCAACTATGGCTGCGCATTATGGTTTGTCCATGATTACATCGCAGCGTTGCAAAATGTACCTTAAACTTGGCTAGGAGCTCAACATTCAGCAACCATGGAACTTAAGCCATGTTGGGTGCTTATTTGGTTTATCACGAACTAATTGAGGTACGAGCTAGGTGACACTGTAAGTAACCCATAACCAACCTCCAGAAAAGCTAGCCTCTACATAAAAAGGCCAAATAGAGTACCAGAACTTGGTTTCAACGTTCAACATCACTGTACCAAGGGCCATAATACTAATGCTCCTGCTAATAATACAATTGAGGGACCATGTCATGGGCTGAGTTAGATTGTTAACCAATTTGGCTTGGCCTTGGTGGGATCCTTTCTTTATGACTCCTCCTGTTCAAACCCTCAAATATGGGTTTATTTCTATGGGTTGCAATAGTGCTAAATAATGGACATATGAAATCAGGTTCCCAAACAATAGATTAGCTTTAGAAGTTACAGACTATATTTACATCACACAATTAACAGGGCTCGATCATTTGCAAAAAAAAAGGCTGGCATAAAGTGATTAGCACTTTCATTTTCAAAGACACGATGAGGCCAATAATGCTCATAAGGACCATTAGCACCAAAAGGAAATTAGAGAAGCCCAATAATTCTGGAATGCAGTGATAAATGCTACTCCATGTCTATCTCTAGATTCTGGTACATAATTCACGATGAATTACAATTCATAAGAGCTTGGTTGCGTACCATGCCGTTTCAACTTATATGGCATATGCACTTTAATTCGCTTTGTTTATATCCTGTGTCTTCTTGGACGTATGAGCTGTATTATTGGATGCATCTGCATGTTTTAGAAATTGACACATCAGTTGACAGAAAAAACAAAAGGTTGAAAAGGAAGAAGTAACAAGACAGGAAAATAGCAACTGTTCACAAAGGAGGATGCTAGTGCTCTTCCAGATGAAAAAGGACATTTAATTTAATAATTTGATATTTAGTGTCAAGATTGCCAGCAGCAGTAGACTGCAATAATGACCACCTAACATCATCATTAACGAATGGAAGATAACAGATGAGAAGGAATAATATCACAAATTACTCAATCAGCAGTTCTTTTTCCCTTGAACATGCACCGGACTGCATGTCGTTTTGCATATTACTCAAGTAATAGTAACTTGGCAACATTAGATCTGAGATATTGTAATGTGTGTGCTATTATGAGGTACAAATGTAGCAAAGAACAATCAACAGCCAGTTCACCCATTCCATTTGACACAACCCACACTGCAATTGATTGTGATCAAGTATTGCTTTAGTTTGATAGAAACATAAATTTTAGGTAAAGCAAAAAAAAGGCCATACAGTTCTTGTTTTACAAGGAAATAACTAAAAGCAAGACACGAATCTACTACTGCATGATACATGTACTTGCGAATAGTTGTTTCCTCTCAGCCTCCCTTTGACATCAGCATGATGATGAAATAGGAAAGCATATTGGCACAGCTTTACCGAAAAAGGCTTTCGCCCCGCTTTATAAATAAAGCAACGATCATCAACATGACAGTACAAACTCACACCACCACACACGCACACACCCAATGCATGATACATACGCGCTGAGTGCAGCAACACCACCCCTAGCTACGAAGAGATGAAGCCGCATATGGCGAACCGTGAACTCCAAGGCAGCGCCTTCAGGAAGGATATGGCACTGGAGCGCCGCCACCGCCCGACCCGAGGGTCAGAGTTTCCCCTGGAGCAACACAACGGGCAATGAGAGCCGCGACGACGCCTTCAAGAAGGGAACGAGCTTCGCCGCCGCCGGTCCATCCAGGGATAGAACAGGTTTTCACCCCGGCCAACACTCACCGCCACCGAACACCACACCCCGGCCATCATGCCGCCCACACGGCCATGACAGTCGGGCAGCACCCAGCCACGGGCTCTGCCCATGAGCACCGGGCTACCACCACCAGGGCCGCCACCCCGGCATCCAAGACCAAGACGCCACCTCACCCGAGTCCCGCCGCTACACCAACCAAAGAGACGAGCGGAAAGGCTCGGCCTTTCGCACCCCTGAGCAGCCCCCAACACCAAGACCCAATAGGCTGGCCAAAGATGGCCACCATCGCCCCGTCCTGCAGCACCGGGCGCGAGACAAGCTCGATCTTGCCGCCGGGCGCGAGACGAGCTCGGTCCTGCTGTCGGGCGCGAGACGAGCTCGGTCCCGCGGCAACGGGCGCGAGACGTGCGATGGACCGCAGCTGGGAGCGGGTCAGCCCTTCGAGTCAAGCAGAGGCCGGACGACGAGGAGATGAAGCAAGGTCGAAACAGCCCGACCGCAGACGAGCCGACGCCGAAGAAGCCGGCCGCCGCCACGGGCAACGCTGCCGGCCACCGTGTAGCCGCCACGCCACCGGAAGTCCACCATCCGGACCTCCCCGCGCCACCGCCCACGGCCAGAGCACCAGCCACACCCGGCCGCTGCCCCAACCCGCGCCGCCTGCCAGAAAAGGCGCGTCAAATCCGGCCGACACGCCCCCCACCTCCACCAGCTCCAGCCCAACTCCAACCCCGACCGAGAGGAGAGGGAGACCGAGCCGAAGCCCGTAGAGAAAGGGTCCACCAGAACCGCCCGCTGCAGCCCGTGACCAGATCCGATCCACCGCCGCCACCACGGGCACGCAGCCGCCGCCCACCACGCTGCCGCTCGCACGTCGCCACCGGAAGCCACCACCGCCGCACCGACAGGCCCTGCGCACGCCCGGCGCCGCCGCCGGAGCAGGCCGCCCCGCACCGGACACCCCCGAGCGGCAGAGAGAGAGGGGCCCCGCCGCCAGCCATCGTGAGGGGCTTTGCCCCGGCGGCTGCGGCCGGCGGCGAGGGCGGGGGAGGGTGGGGGGGAGGAGAGGGCGGGGGGAGCCGTGCCGCCGCCCGAGTCGCCCGCGGGGGGGACGACGCGGGGGCTAGGTCTCCTTTTTTAACTCTATTCACTCTCTCATGTCATTGGCACAGCTTTAAGTTTGGAATTTTGTAATTATAAAAGGCTGCTCCATTTTGGGGCTGCACGTGTCAAGTTAATTTCCCTGTCTTCGGCATTATCTGTCTCTGCAGTCAACACGTGTCAATTACAGACTGGAGACGTGACTAACCGACTAGGAAAAGTTCCATCAGTTATTAAACTGTGAATTCGCAGATATGTTAAGGCAAATGCTAAAGCTGGCACATCTTTGTGCTTGTGTTAGCAATCTCTTCTTAGTCCATAGGAAGCTCAAAGAACTAAAATCAGATTATGGTTCTATGAACCATGCCAGGATCAGGTAGTGGGAGAAGAATAGCATTTGCAGAGTTTCAACAGTGTAAACCCAGCCAGTACTCAATAGGTCCACTCAATCAAAATGAATGGCCCAATGGCATAAGGTAGGAAGAAGCAGCAAATATGAGCAGCTTAATTAGTTGGAACCATCCTTCAGTTGATTGCCTAGTAATGAAGGTGTGCAAGTAGATGGTATCATCAACCAAGAGAATAATAGCAACTAGATACAGCCTAAGTCAGTGGCAGACGTTGCAACAAATGTACTCCCTCCGTCCCAAAATAAGTGTCGCTGATTTTGTACAAAGTTAGTACAAAGTTGTACTAAATCAACGATACTTATTTCGGGACGGAGGAAGTACCTAATATACAGCCCAAGTGTATGCGCATTCAACAATTTAATTCATGGAATCATATGTCAAGGCATCATGGTTCTTTTATCTTCTGGGTTTTCCTTTTACCTCTTTGACACATTATGCTGGTGATGGTGACGGTGAGGATGAGTCAATAGGCCTTGTGAAGAGTGCTGCTGCAGTTTCCTCCTTCATAGGCTGGCTGCTATGTTCGGGAGCACGAGTCCCGGCACATCAAGGCCATCTTCTCATTAGCGTACCAGCAGTTTAAGGATCATGCTTGCGGGCCTTCTATGTAAATCACAAACGTTCACCCAGGACAGGGAAGTCATCTTGCTCATCGACGGCGTCTCTTTAAAAACTTAGGGACGATCTAGAATATCTCCAACAATGTCTCACTAAGCAACACCTCAGCGCATATCGTCGATCTGTTACCAAAGTTCCCGATTCATGTTAGACATTGGTAAAGTGTAAGTAACAATTGCACTTCAGTTGATAGCAAGAAGAGAGATCATTGCAGATTACGACAACAGAACCTAAGAGCAGAAGCT